GATTTCTTGTCATCATGGTCTTCTGTCCGCTTTGGGGTGCTGGGTCATTTGAGATGAAGTGGTAGTAGCGTTAATGATTAGAAGCGATGTGCAAATGTTATTTCTTTTAATTACAGGTACAATTTACTGTCAGTTATGATGAAGGAGCTGTATTCTTTATGTAATTTACAGTTGTCCTTGTTAATATGGATATTGACAGCCAGTGCCTTTAACTTTCAGAGTTCCTGGAGGGCGGGGTTGGCCACGTGGAGATGCTTTTTAGGTGTAACTATCTAGCACTAGTGGGAGGAGGGAAGAAACCCAAGTATCCAACTAACAAAGGTATGTTAAGTCAACAATTCTGATACAGCATTAGCAGGATTGTCAAAACTGGGCTTATGCCAGGCTTCAATTCAGACAAGTGAGGGCTTGTAGTCTGTTTTTCAGGGTATTTAAAGGTCTTGAAAAGTTCACCTTCCTCAAGGGGAATTTTAAAAAGTGTTAAACTTTATGAGCAAAAGTCTTAAATATTTCTTCTTACCTGCCATAAACAAAAAAAGTAACATTTTTATATCTGAATTTGGGATTGTCAGGAGACATTACATGCTTATAAACTAAAAGTGGGAGTGCAGGTCATATTGATTTAATTCATTGTGTTATTAGGCATTACTGTTATATACTTCTGGGAAGTACTGAAAAATGTAACAACGTGGTAACCTTACTGGTTTTTCCATCATCCCTTTGTCCTTTATATATACCTAGCACTCAGAGGTGACTCCTAGATGAGCCAGCCACTGAGCAAATACAATGCAGATGCTATGTGTCAAGCCTCATATTTGCTCTTTGCTTTGGTGAGGACAAGGTTTAGAGATGCTTTGTGGTAAGACTAGGTTAGGTTCTGGAAAATGGTGCAGTTTACTGTGGGACTCTAAAGATTTATGACAACATGGCCCAACACCCCCTCTTTGGGGCCAAATAATGGGTAAACATCATTTAAGTCATATACTGAGCTTCCATATGAGTGCTCTCACATTCTTTGGCACATTTAAGTGTCTATTATTGACTGTATGATGTTAAAAATCTTAAATTTAACTTGGTAAACACTACTCATTTTTAAGTATTACACAGCACATTTTATTAACCTGACTCATTTGAAGATTCTCTTTTTTTTTTTGTTGTTTCTTGGTACTCTAGTGATGATCTGGGATGACCTGAAGAAGAAAACTGTTATTGAGATTGAGTTCTCAACTGAAGTCAAAGCAGTGAAGCTTCGACGTGACAGGTAAAAGAGATCCAAGTTAAAGGCTGAAATGGATTTCAAAACAGATTTGTAATGTTGGTTCATCTGTCCAGGGGTTGTCTTCTGTCATTTTGTTAGCAGAACCTTTTTCAACATTTGTGATGGTTGCAAAACATTGTTGTGCTGTGTGTGAGTGAGTAGATGGGAGGTTCCTCTTTAGGGACAACCAAGTGTTTAGATACAGTATCAATGTGTCAGGCCTGTGTCACTCTTTCAAAAATGTTTCTCAGCTTGATCACACAGCACCACTGTGGTAATGAGACTGGGACACATAATAATTTGGTGACAGTGCAGTCACAACAGTACTTTGCTTATCGCATATTGTTTTAAATTGAGCTTCTCATTCATCGTCAGTCGAACTGTCTCTGGTGTTGTCACTAGATACTGTATTTCAGATTAGTATTACTGCCCTGTGAAATGAGTAGATTTTCTTGACATTTAATATAAGTTTTAACTTTGGTGTTGGTTCTCCTTTGTTTTTAGGATTGTGGTGGTCCTGGACTCAATGATCAAAGTGTTCACCTTTACCCACAACCCCCATCAGTTGCATGTGTTTGAGACCTGCTACAACCCCAAAGGTCAGTCCGCTCTGTTGAAACTCTCACCCTGTTCTGCTCTAGACACACCTCCGTAACTGATGATGCTGCCAAAAATACAACATCTACAATTGGAATATTGTGAGTCAGTATAAATATGACACAGCTTTACCAGCATCAGAGCACAACATACAAATAGTTGATGCATAAAATCTGCCTATCTTTCTCCTCAGGTCTGTGTGTGTTGTGTCCCAATAGCAACAACTCCCTGTTGGCATTCCCTGGGACTCATTCAGGCCATGTACAAATAGTGGACCTGGCTAACACAGAGAAGCCCCCAGTTGACATCCCTGCCCATGAGGGAGCGTTATGCTGCATTGCTCTCAACCTACAGGGCACAAGGATAGCTACTGCATCAGAGAAAGTATGCAATGCTAGGGCTGATGGCGAATGAAGAAAAAAAAATGTGTGTGTTGGGACACTTCTTCAGTTCTTGTCATTAGATTTTATCATTTTTACTAAACCATGTTGTGTTTCAACAGGGGACACTTATAAGAATTTTCGACACATCTGCAGGTCAGCTCATACAAGAGCTGCGACGAGGCTCTCAGGCAGCTAACATTTACTGGTGAGTAGTGAGTGACAATGCTGCTCAAATCTCTACTAACAGCACTGCAACACTTTTTGTCATGTGTAAGACAAAAATATAAACAGTGTTGATGGGGAAGGTTGCTGCAAACATCTCCAGAACTGAAAACAAAAAGCCAAGGCAGGCTGTGCTCAAAGTTCTTCCAGACTTTTGCTGTCTTGTTTGCGCTGGTTACACCTGCTCTCCCAAGCCGTTCTGCAGACCTTAACCACATTTGCACTTCCCACAAGCACAGACAATGTCCTGGCAAGTTGTAGCTGCAGTGTGAAGTTTTACATTAGAGTTATGGACAGTGAAACCATAGTCTTAAATGCTGCTTTCCTGACTCCACTGCAGCACTATACGTTTAGACCAGTTGCAAAGTCACTGAGAGGGGGGAAGTAATGTAACTACTGTATAGGAATTACCTGTATGGTGACCTAATGAAAAGGTCATTCACACTGCGATGTTTAACAGTCATATTCATGTACATCTGTGATTCAAAAGAGCAGGATTTATGGATGAGTGGGATGGATGTTGCCAGCATACACTGTAGTTCACAGCCGGCCTAATTTCAGTTCACTTAAGTTTTATTTGCATAGCACCAAATCACAACAAAAGTCTCTCAGGACACTTTACAAAGTAAGGTCTAGACCTTACTTGAGGAAACACTTGGCGACAGTGAAAACTCCCTTTAACAGAAGAAACCTCCGACAGACCTCTTTGTGGGCGGCCTTCTGCCTCGACCAGTTGGGGTGAGTGCATAGAGGAGAGAGAAAAGAAGACATCCCTGCCCATGAGACACATGATGACACAACAAAGAATCAAACACTGGGCAGGATGATGTGGCTGGTGACTGCTCATCAAAAATGTACAGCTCCAGAGCCAGGACTACCTGCAAAACGGTACAGGAAGAGAGAGAGGACATGAAGTTAATGACATGTAATGATGTCATGTAGATGCATGGAGAGAGAGGAGAGGAGAAGAGAAACTGAGAGTATCATGGGCCCCCCCAGCAGTCTAGACCTATAGCAGCATAACTAAGGGAGGCTCAGATCACCCAAGCAAGCCCTAACTATACGATTTATCAAAAAGGAAAGTCTTAAGCCTAATCTTAAAGGTAGAGAGGGTGTCTACCTCCCGAACTGAGACTGGGAGCTGTTTCCACTGGAGAGTAGCTTGATAGCTAAAGGGTCTGCCTCCCATCCTACTTCTGTAGACTCTAGGAACCACAAATAGACTTGCACTCTGAGAGTGAAGTGCTCTGTTGGATGATAAGGCACTATGCGGTCTTTAAGATACAACGGAGACTTGTCATTAAGCGCTTTGTATGTTAAATTCTGTTCTGGGTTTTACTGGAAGCCAGTGGAGGGAAGCTAATATGGGAGAAATATGATCTCTCTTGCTAATTCCTGTCAGTATGCTGGCTGCAGCACTTTGGATTAACTGGAGGCTTTTTAGGGAATTATTGGGCCATCCTGTTAGTAATGAGTTACATTAGTCCAGCCTAGAAGTAACAAATGCATGGACTAGTTTTTCAGCATCACTTTTGAGACAGGATGTTCCTGATTTTGGTGATATTGTGCAAGTGAAAGAAGGAAGTTCTAAAGACTTGATTTATGTGTGATTTAAAGGACATATCCTGGTCTAAAATGACTCTTAAGGTTCCTCACAGCAGTAGGCCAGAGCTATATCATCTAGAGTAACTATATGGTTAGACAGCAGATTTCTAAGGTTTTCAGGCCCAAGTACAATAACTTAATTTTTGTCAGAGATTAGAAGTAAGAAATTACAATGCATCCAGGCCTATACAGTGCCTTGCAAAAGTATTCATACCCCTTGAACTTTTCCCCATTTTGTCACATTACAACCACAAGCTTAAATGTATTTTATTGGGATTTTATGTGATAGGCCAACACAAAGTATCGCATAAATGTGAAGTGAAAGTAAAATGATATGTGCATGTATAAAGTGAAGAGAATTGGACCTAACACCTGTAGAACTCCATAACTAACTTCAGTCTGCATGGAAGATTCATCATTAACATGACAAATTGGAATCTTTCTAATAAGATTTGAACCAACTTAGTGCAGTTCCTTTAATCCCAGTAACATGTTCTGGTCTCTGTAATAAGATGTTATGATCAATGGTGTCAAAAGCAGCACTGAGATCTAAGAGGACAAGTATAGAGACGAGTCATTTGCCTAAGGCTAGGAGAAGATTATTGGTGGCTTTCACCAATGTGGTTTCTGTACTATGATGGGCTCTAGAACCTGACTGAAAAACCACAAACAAATCATTCTTGTGCAAGTGCTCACATAACTGCTTTGCAACAGTTTTTTCAAGGATTTTAGAACTAAACAGAAGATTGGATATTGGTTTATAATTAGCTAGAACACCTGGGTCAAGAGTAGGCTCTTTGAGTAGAGGTTTAATTGCAGCAACCTTAAGGGCCTGTTAATAGACAGGTTAATCAGATCTAATATGGACATTTTGCATCCAGCCTGTCAGTAGATTCAAATCAAGGACATTGTTGCTGTGTGGAGACGGTACTAAACACTGAGATATTCTTTGATTTTAATTGACAGAATGAAAGCAAATTATAGGGAGTACAACTTAAAATGTAGTGAAATAAGAAGCACTGCAACAGCAGGATGCAGTTAGGGCTGAAAAATAGAATTAAATCTACATTAAAACCAATGCAACAGCAGGTACAGTATATTTAAGTTTTTATTAAGAAGGATCTTTTTTTATGCTAATGGTGGATGATGCGAAAGTTGAATAGTTCCAAACACTAGGACCAGTGCCATATAGTTGCATTGACTTGGCTGCTATCTGCCAAAGTCGGAAGTTGAAATCAATACCAGTATTTATACTTGTAACATTTAAGTTAGTAACATGTCAAAACACATTTTACAACCTTTTTGACTGTCTCTCTCAAATATTGAGTGAGTAATAATTAGCTAACTTAGCTGAGCTGTCTTCAACAACAGAACACAGAATTAGTTTTCAAGGCTGTGCAAATCATTAAAAATAGGAGATGCTGATATATCCTACTGTTCCATACAGAAAACAATGGATTTTGATCGACTGTTTGGAACAGTTTGAAGCTACATGTATCACATGACCTGCTGCCATTTTTGACCCCTCAATGTTGGAACTCTTCTATCTTAACGGCTCTGGATTTTTACAGCTTACGACATGTAGATAGACATATTTAAAAATACACAATACAACAGCTGCTTGGCTGGAATTGATGAAGGGAATAGAAGTTGCTTTTAATATCCAGGGCAACTTTACACTGCATAAAACATTTTTTGTTATAAACTATAAAAAATGCATTGGCCTCCCATCTGAGTGATTGCTGACAGAACAGATAAGGCACCAGGATTAATCAAGCCTGGTCTGGCGGAGGCTAACAGCGCAGAATAAATCTTTATCGTAAATTATGTGCCTCAGCTTTAGTGAAACTGAGTCACAGCTAAATTCATCCAGGATAAGTAGAAAATCCCATCTTAATCCGCTGTCTAGGTTTTGTGAAACAGCCCTCAGTAGTTTCTGGAAGGACCACAGCAACCAATAGACATACAAAGGAATAGTCACATAGCCAGCAGAGCTGGTAGCAACAGGAACTTTTTGACGAGCATCAGCCATTTATTTATTATTTTTTATTAACTAAAATTTGTGTGTAAGTGGAGAAATCTGTTATTTCTTATTTTCAAAGTTGCTTAATCTTGCTGCAAAAGTAATGATTTTTCCTTGTTGTTGGTTCACCAAATGGTTTTATAGTGCTTTGCTATGCATTGAAGCACACTCAGAGTACTTTAAACTATTTCCTATTCACACACAGTGATGTCGCAGCCATCAGGAACTTGCCCAACTATACTTAAGCATATGGACTGGAGAAGCCGGGATTCGAACCACCAGCCTTCTGGTTAGGACCCATGGTACCTCCTGAGCCACACCTGCCCTGTAAAGCAAATGGGCCAAGTAGTAGTAGATTTACCTCTCACTGGGCGGCTGTGGCTCAGGAGGTAGAGTGGCTCATCTCCTAACTGGAAGATTAGCGGTTCGATTCCTGGCCTGTCCAGTCCACAGGTCGAAGTGTCCTTGAGCAAGGCACTGAACCCCCAGTCGCTGCATGAATGTGTGAGTGCTTGGTAGTGCGAAGGGTTGAATGGCCAAAGTAGTGTGAAAGCACTTTAGGTGTGCATAGAAAAGCACTATACAATTATAAGACCATTTACCTGTGGTTTTTGTTTTTGCAAGGGGTACCCTTGAGTTGGGAACCACTGCAGTGTAGGTTAGTAGTAATTCGGTGGTTATTACAGAACCGTGTATTCAGCCTTTCATAATAAATGTGAGCAGTGTCACACTCATGACTATCAAATTGCAGGTGCTGATCTGAATGGGTTAGTGGTACACAACTGAGATATTGAAAGCTTGTAATTTTCTTGTTTCCATCTGGTCTGTCCTGTTCAGCATTAATTTCAACCAGGATGCCTCCCTCATCTGTGTGTCCAGTGATCATGGCACAGTGCACATCTTTGCTGCAGAGGATCCCAAAAGGAACAAACAGTCAAGGTCTGTTTCTGCAGTAATGTTTCTTCCATTACATACAGTCAGCGCTGAAAATATTGGCAGCTCTGCAGATAACGTACCACTTCTCCCAGAAAATTGTTGCGATCAGAAATGCTTTTGGTATGTTTATTTCTTTTGTTTGCATTGGAACAACACAAAAAAAGCAGAAAAAAGCCAAATCTGGCACAGTCCACATGGAACTCCAAAAACGGGCTGGACAGAATTATTGACACTCTCAACTTATTATTTGATAGCACACCCTTTGGACAAAATAACTGAAATCAATCACTTCCTGTAACTATCAGTGAGTTTCTTCCACCTTTCTACTGGATTTCTGGACCACACTTCTTTTGCCAGCTGCTCCAAGTCTCAGATTTGAAGGGTTCCTTCTCCCAACTGCTGTTTTGAGATCTCACAAGGTGCTCTATGGGATTTAGATCTGGACGCATTGCTGGCCACTTCAGAACTCTCCAGCTCATTGTCTGAAACTATTTCTGGTGCTTTTTGAAGTCTATATTGGGACATTGTCCTGTAAGATCCATGACCTCTGACAGGGACCCAATGTTTTGACACTAGTCCCACCTGTCCACAGGACATTCTCCTAGAAGGATTGTGGCTTCTCGGGTAAGTTTTGGCAAACTCCAGTCGGGATTGTTTTGTCTCTGTGCCAGCAGCAGGGTCCCCCTGGGTCTCCTACTATAGCATCCCCTGTAATTCAGATGGCGACAGATAGTGTGAGCTGACACTGTTGCACCTAAGGTTGCAGCAGTATACTGGTTTTATGGTATACCATGGTATGAAAATTGATGATTATCATACCATGCACATTTACTTATTACCAATGAAAGTCACTTTCGGCTTTTCCTGTTGTCGCCACAGGAAATCTGACGACTCGCATGTTGACATTTGGCACGTGTTTTACGCCGGATGCCCTTCCTGACGCAACCAACCTTTGCTTTTTTGTGTAGTTCAAATGCAAACAAAAGAAATAAACATGACGATACCAAAGGATTTGTGATTGCAACAAATTTCTGGGAGAAATGGTGCGTTATCTGACAGAAATACAGGGATGCTAGTATTTTTGACCAAAACCATCTGTTGTATTGTAAATTAAAACCAGTCCAGCTGGCTGAATGAATGTGCAGTGGCTTCTGAAAGTATTCAGATTCCTTCACTTTTTTTGCAGTTTATGGTGCTGTAGACTTAATTTTAAATTAATAGGATGACCGTCAATCTCCACTCAGTGAAAACATTTTTAGAAATGCTTTCAGATTTGTTAATCAAGAACTGAAATCTCTCATTCACAAAAGTACCCACACCCTTTATTCAGTAGTTTGCAGAAGCTCCTTTGACAGTAGTTACAACTTCAGTTTTCCTGGTTAAGTCTCTATAAGCATTGCACACTGGGATTAGGGCACCATGTCTTGTTCTTCCTGGCAGATCCTATGAAGTTCTGTCAGATTGGATGGGACGAGTCTGAACTGCCATCAGGTCTCCACAGATATTCTGTGGGATTTAAGTCTGGACATTGGCTGGCCTCTCATGGACAGTCGGAGACTGATCCTGAAGCCACTTTGGTCTTGTCTTGGTTGTATGCCTCAGGTCATTGTATTGCTGGAAGCTAAACTGTCGCCCCAGTCTCAGTTCTCTGCACTCTAGAGCAGGTTTTCTTCAAGGACCTCTCTCTATGTGGCTGCATTCATCCTATCCTCATTTATGACCAGTCTCCCCCCCTGTCCCTGTTGCTGAGAAGATACCAATTCACTTTATCTTTCCTCACTCCACTTTCATCTAAGATGGTATCTTCCAGCTTCTGACTGGCTGAACACAAACCTGAGCCAGGTAATCACCAGCAGGTCTAGCAGGGATAGTTGGAAAACAAGCAGGACAGTGGCTCTCAAGGACTAGAATTGCCCACCCATGGTCTAGACCTTATTATTATTATTATTATTATTATTGTATGG